ACTCCTATCTCCCTCATCAAAGGGATTCACCCAGAATTAAGTAATTCAGTCTTTATTGAAGGATGGAATGTAATTTTCTACACTGTTGGCATTATTAAAAAAATATTTTTGCAACTGCTATCATTGTTTCTAGAGGTGCAAAAGTAAGTTAAAGAAATGTGCAGCAGAGAGATTTATTAAAAAATCTTTGATGCATCATTGTTTGAAAGCAATTAGCATGAAATTTATATAGATTCTGAATTTTATTTAGTTTTACTATCCTGGTCATAGGGCATTTTTTGTTCTCCCCACTTGTTTGTTGCATAACAGAGGTGGGGAAATGTATAAAGATATTTTGTCTGTTTGTTGCTTCCAGGGAATGGTAGATCCTTTTCCTTCCTGCTATTTTCTTTTGCTTTTTCCTTTGAGCTTTCATTTTCAAGCCTGTCTAGAGGGAGTGGGATCTCAGATAACTCTGCTACATTGTGTGAAGGCATTCAAAATAGGATTATTTTGCATCCTAAAAATTACCTCTCCATCATATGTGTCTCAGAAAAGGTTCCTAAGTATGGATTCTGGGGGGTGGGGGTGGTGGTTTCAGTCTTCAGTAAATCTAGGGTAGAAGTATCCATTGATAGGTTTGTTGAAGATACTGTTCTGATGAATGAGTGAATGATTGGTCAGGAATAGAAAGGGTGTGGAAAATCTCTGAGTATTGAATCCTTAAACCAGTATTTTGGGTATACTGTTGTCGATAAGGAGAAAAATAAACAACATAAGGTAATTAGAAAGGTATTATGTATTTCATTGGTGAGAAATAATGTAATGCTTGGTGCATTTCATGTCTATGGACCTCTCATGTTGAATGAAGAAATACTCCAATTCCTGTCTCTATGTATGAGAATCTCATTAAAATCAAATAAGTATAGTTGCCATAATTTCCTTGCCTTCCCCTTAAAAGATTTAAAAAGGTAAATTTCTTTTTTTGTGGGGTTTGCAACCTTTGCAACCTATATTAATCCAGTGGAAAGCATCAGTTCAGCAGAGAGACTGCAGAGCTGTCAGACAGACAAGAAAATACCCTATTTCAGCGTCTTTAAGACTGTGAAGTCAAGTAGAGCTTAAAATAATGTTGTTTTCTTTGCTGTAAACTTTATAGATAAAATGATTTTCCACTGTAATTGCATTGCTACTGGCACATAGTTTATTGGGCATGTTTTTGTCACTATTCTGTTCTAAAGCATCCATTTTATTGGGTCCGTAGTAGAGAGTCAGGAAAGAAATGCTCCTGTTGAATTCTAGATCTAGTCTGGTATTTCAATTTGGTATATTGCTTCCAATTGATCAGATAATTGATTTTTTCCGTAGGACTGATTTTTTTTGGTAGTATGCAGCCTCTCTTAGTAACCATTTAGTGAAGGGTGGTTCCACTCAGTATCTGAAATAATATTACACACATCTTTTACATTGTCAGTGTATTTATTTTGAAAATGGTCTGTTTGCTGTACAGGCAACACAGGTATCTAAACAAATACTTTTTCAGTAAGAAAATAATCCTGTGGTGTAGGTGGAGATTTATTTGAATCATCATACCTACAACTCAAATTATTGTACTAGAGGCAGAAACTATTGACTACAACACTTTGTCTCATAATGTTAAAGGAATTTGGTTGATAATCATAGAAGTTTTTTTCTGTTTTTGAAATCTGTGAATCTCTTAGGTTTGTCCTCAGCATTGCAACTGAAATGAACTCCAATTCCCAGGCATATTTTAGTATCTGTTTGGAAGCAGTAAACTAACAAACTCAAGAGGTCATTTGATTATTTTATCTGTATATTTTTCCTCTGATTAGAGAGATTTTCTAAGTAAGTTCAGTGTTTTGGGACTTATTTTTGATATAAATTTCAGTATAGAAGCTTATATCCTATTCTAATCAGATCCCAGGAGAAAATTCTGATATAAAACCTCTTGCCAAAAAAAAGGTGAGTTACATGATGGAGGAAACATAGCAAGCGCTTTCTGAGCATCCTGTTCGCAGTTTGCAGTTAACTTTAGCAGCCAGAATCCATGAAATGTGCAAAATTAGAATAGACTTTACTGTAATACATAAGAAAGTTATCCTTTCTGAACTACTGATTATATAATTTAAATGTTAACCAGTTTATTAGGTATTTCAGATTAAAAGAATCTTCTCCACACATATAAAGCATTCCCAAATGTTGTTAAGGAAAGAGAGCTGTGCACATTTGTATATTTAGCTGAAACAGCTTTGGGAAAGGGGGAATTTTAGTGAGTGCTCCTGTTACAGAATTCTGCTTGCTATTTTGGATGCATAAATAAACTTCAACCTTATTGAGCTGGTAGGCCTGAAAGAGATAACATCATCTTAGTTGTGAGTTAAATTTGATTTGAAAACAGTGAGAGAGCATAGGATGGGGCATTGTGTTACTGATTACATGTAAATAGTATCATGGCTAAGCTTCGCGAACAAAGATTTGAGAAGGGCTCTACCCACGCTTGCTACAAGCACGCTGAGATCCCACTTGGAGCACCGCATCCAGCTCTGGGGTCCTTGGCAGAAAACAGGCATGGACCTGTTGGAGTGGGTCCCAAGGAGGGCTACAAAAGTGATCCAGAGGGATGCAACACCCTTGCTATGAGAAAAGGCTGAGAGTTCAAGGAAGCCAATCTAGCTGAAGATGTCCCTTCTAATTGCAGTGAGGGTTGGGCAAGATGACCTTTAAAGATTCCTCCCAACCCAAATTATAGTAGAGTTCTATGGAAATCACATAAAATGACATACAGGAATTTAGTAGCAGATCTGTTTGTGTCTTGAAAACTGTAGAATACTGGAAAGAATTAATGTGCCATCATGATAGGGAAAACTGTCCTTTTAATTTAATTTTTGATTTTTTTTGTATTTGAACCAAACAAAGCAGATAATGCACTGAGGTTTCTGAAAATTATTATTTGATCCTTTCCATGTAATGACTTTAGCTTTTGCAGTTGAAAGCCAGTTCTATTTTGTAGCTAAACTGTTCAAGCAAACTCTCCACTTTTTTTCTTATTTTTTAAGTTATATTCTCTGAACAGAATTCTTTAAAAAGGTGTGGGCTGTAGCAAATGCAGAACTTCATCCTTAATGATTTTCTTCTCTCACAGAAAATATATTGAAGCTGTAGTATTTTTGTTCTATTATTTGATGTCTTAGCAACTTAAATGTATCTTAACCATTGTATTGGTTTGGAGATAGAGGTGTTATTGCTAATTTTGATGCTTCTCAGGTTTCTTTTTGAAACATGGCAGTTTCAAACCAGTTTCAAAACTTGGTCATCTCATTAACTTCAGATGCAGTACTGAGGAAAGGTTTTTCACTAGCCATTTTTCAATAAAGTTCATGGGGAATGGAGTGAGGAAGGTAGCTGGATGGAACAGAGATGAGAAAAATCTCCTTCCATGTCCAGCTGCTTCTCTTTGGATAGGAGTAGCAACTGTGGGAACTATTGGAAGTGAAACAGAGGGATGTGTCTCATGGTTTCAGCAGTATGATCTAAAATTATTATATTCTAATTGCAAATAGATCTGACATATATAATTGTTAAGCTTCATTTTATTGCTTTTCATCTAAATCCCTAAATCCGTGTAGTAAGTTGTGATTAATTTTCATAGTTCCCCATAGTCAGTAATTACAAAGAAACTTTTTATCCATGTAATAGACAGGATTGTGCTTTAAGACTACTTATGAGTCTTAAAAAGGCTACCTACTTATAAGCCTTAGCGAGAGTAAAAATTTTATTTAGCAACTTTCCAAGAATATTGTGGGAAAAACATCATGATTTAAACTCATCTTTCCACATGCATCTTTACTCTTGAGAGGAACCTCTTATTCCTCATCATCAGTGAGATGATAAAAGTTGTGACCAAGTTTATATCTTTGCTAGGACCAGTCTTTCGTAAGTTTCTAGAAACAAAAAATGGTTTTTAGCACTGGAAGTCAGTAAAGTAAATGTCAATAAAGAGAATGTATGAGAAGAAGCTGCCCTGGACCTCACTATAACCTCAGTTGCAATAGCACGTTACACAACTTTTATGTAACTCCTGGCTGTATTCTCTAATAAAAATTATCCTCCGAGCTTTATTTTAATTTTATAAGCTGTGCATGTGTATAATACACAATGTACTTTTATTCATATGCCAAAGATCTGCAACCAAATCATTTACTATCAGCATAAGACTATTTTAATAATTTAATCCCTTAATCTCTTATAGTATTTTCTCCTGCACAAACTCTCTTTGTATGTCTTGCCAACTTGGTAGTTGTCTGGAAATTGCTATGCACGCAACCTGATTTCTACATAAAAATTCAATTTCTTTTTAAAAACAGTTGCTTCTTTGTAAAAATAGTTGCTTCTTTAATAGTTGAAGTGTAATGGAAAGAAATAAAGTTAATTTGCCATTTTTAAGAGAAAATGTGTAATTTTTCTGTTCTGCTCGAGTTTTTTGAAATTAGGGTGGAGATGAGCATTATTACAATAAAAGATTTTACGTCATTAAGATTTACCAATTTAATCAGGCATATACAGTCTAGTTTATCCAGGTTATCAGATCTCTTGCCCATAATCTCTTATTTTTCACTAAGCAACGTGGGAGCTTGAGAACTGAGGCGTTTCACATCCACGTGTCTTTGACAGTCTGAAAGAGGGACATATGCGCTAGAATTGCCAGCAACCTCAGTGAGGTTTTCTCCCTTTAGCTTTCAGCCTGTGTGTGTCCACCCGTGACTTCGTACATAAACTAAGGTTTTCTGATAAGATACATCAGTTATTAGGAAAATAAATTCAAAACAATTTGAAAAAGACCTGTTAAGGATCTTGGAACAATTAAATATGGAAGAGCATTTCAAAGGTATTTGTCATTTTGTATGCTACCAATATTGATTTAATTGATCACTGTTGTTGTGATATGTTGTTATAACTTGAATTATTCTTTACTATAGCTATTTTTTTTTCCTTTACTGCAGGTTTAAGATTTTTAAGAGCCCTTAGACTGATACAGTTTTCAGAAATTTTGCAGTTTCTGAATATACTTAAAACAAGGTAAGACTTTTTCTTACGTACTGAGTTAATTGCATTGGTAACAGACCGTAAGTGGCTTAAATTTGGGATCCTAGTAATATATGATTTTCTGTCCTGGAAAAAAAAAATTTGTTATCTGTTCTTTAAACTTTTTTCTGCCGATGAATGATTTATGAGTGAAAGCATCTTTTGCTATGTGATCAGTAGATTTTGATGTGTAGTTAAGTTTAAAATATCAAACAAGGTTGAGTTTTGATAAATTAGAAACAGAATGAATTACATAGCTTTGCACTGATTAAACATTGCTGCTTTCCATATAAGCAGTCCATGTTCTGCTGTCCTGGAAAAACAGAAATCAAAATTCATTCAACAGAATACAGTTAAAAAGTATATTGAGAATTATCATTGTGGCTCTATTTCAGTATTTTTGAGCTGAGCATCCTTTTTCACATCAAAAGCATGTTAAAAATTACACTGAGCTTTCTTTTTATTGTGTTCATTGTCCTTAGTATTTATTTCATATAATAATTGAAATAGTCCAGTTAACCTTCTGGTTTACTGATTCTTTGGCCTATTAATACATGAAAGTTGTACATGAAAGAAGAATCACAGTTTTGGACAAAAGATCACTTTGAAGGAAATAAAAAGAAACCTTCCCATGCCTTGCAGTTGAAGACATGTTACTTTTCATCATTTTCTAAAATGCCCCAGGGGAAGTATTGAACCCAGTTTCCAATAATTACTCTAAACTCAGTTCCATTCTGGAATCCTTTTCTCTCTGCACCAGTTGATATTGATGTGTGAGGGGTTTATATGCAGGTAACTCCATTTCTTGCTATGATAATTAATAGCAGTGGTTAAGTAGGTCCTGAGCTTTGTACACAGTCATGGTAAACAGCTGTTTCTTCAACCCTTAACCTTGAAACTATTTTCTTTGCTGGAAAACTCTCACATTATCTGCCTGTAGTGGTGTTACTATAAGGAATCCACTTGTCAAATACAGATATCAAAGAATGTGTAGTGAAGTCTCATAGCTTAGAATACCACTGGGATGGTAAAGGAGAACAATTTGTGCAGGAGCTCAGAATATGCAATGAGTTTACATTTAACACACAAAGCAGCCTTGCCATAAGAAATGTCAGTGAACAGAGAAGCCCCATAAACTCAAAGGATTTTGGATAAAAGCTAATAGCCCCTTCAGCAGTTGGGGATTTGTGAAATTCCAGATCCGTAAATGAAGGGATACTGCATTAATCACATTCAATGTATTCAGAGCTGGTTTATTCAAGATTGACCTGTTCATTGAAATAACATTTTTCTGGTGCAAAATTTACTCTCCTATTAGACACAGATGTCATTTTCTCTGTAATTATTTATGTGACCGTCCAAATATCTGTAAAACTCAAAAATTGATTATTGAAAGACTGTAAAGGAAAGTTTTCTTGTATGAGTGTTTTAGTTCAGTCAACTAATTAATCCTTAGCAGTTCATCATTAGCACCATTTATTTAGCTTAAAAACTGTCGCTTCCTCAAAACAGTTTTTTATTTTTCCTGGTTCTGCAATAGAAAGTCATGTCTGTTCTCTTCTGTATTTTAGTTTATAACCTGAAGTTAACTAAATAAAATGGAATGCTATTCATGTTCACAAAACATATTTTTGTAAAATGGGTATGTGAAGTTCATTTATTTTAGAAAACTTTTTATTTACATCTGAAAAAAGGCATGCCGAGCCCTTGTGGTTGATGTTTAGTAATTTTGCAAGAGTTAGGGCAGTTAAACTAGTAGTCTCAAGAAATCTAATTTTATTTAAATAAAATTTACTTCCCTAAGTTAAAGCAGTGTTTCAGTTATGTACCATGGCCTTAAACCATTATTATTAATTTAAAATCTTATACTATATTGTATGCTTTTGCCCTGCAACATTATTTTGTTCAGGGATGGTTAAAAAACTTTGAGAATTAAAACATTGTAGCATTTTTTGCAATCCACTTTTAAGGTTTTAATGACATTTCAATATTGTAGTTTTTTTGCAAACATAAAGACCAAGGATTAATTAGAGAATTTGAATTGTTGAACTGGAATAACAAATTCAGTGTATCATTACCAGCTCTGAAGTTACAGTATAGGGAAAAAAGCCACTTTTTATATTTTTAGCAAAGTATAGTAGTTCTCTTTTTGAGTTTATATGTATTTATATGAAAAAGTATGGAACTAATTCAACTACAGGCATTTTAATGTGTTTGGCATTAATAACAAGTAACTACTAACAAGATGAGAAACTGATAGGGTATAATGGGCACTGCTGTGTTTTTAATATTTAGTGCAATTCGAGAAGAAATTCTCTCCTCCTTTTCCTCTTTTCCCCAGTAAAGAAAAACCTTTATTCTAACTTATAAATTAAAATTAATGCTAGAATTAGTGACTGAGATATGCGGATTAAAGGAACATGTGTTATTTATACAATGAGCAGAAAGGCCAAAAATTGGAATCCAAAAGAATAAGGCAAACAATGCAGAAACTGAGGCAGTAAGGAGACTAGCAAAGTATTAGGTAATGATTAGACTATCTGAAAAATTGCTAAACGTGTTTGAAAAAATCCAGTAAGACAAAACAAAATTTTGCAATGTTGTATTAGAATACCATACTCTGCCAAGGACCTGTTTGTTTCCTTAATTTGAAATAAAATGTCATTTACTCAAAATTTTTTGTTCTCATGTTTGATGAAATTGATTTATGCAATTTTCAGTTGAAAATTTCTCTCCTTCATTGTTTTCTAGTATTATTTTTCAACAAAACTACAGAGGCTTAGGCAGGGCTCACAGTAAGGGATTTTGCACAGATGTTGGAAAGAGCTTAAAGAGGGGGAAAATATTTGTGACTAATCCTTCATCTATATTTAGACTCTGGCGGAAGCACAGGGAGTATTTCATAGAGGAGAGACAAGGTACAATGCTTAAAAAATCTGCAGAAATAAATGTACCAAACAAGTAATGTAGTTATTAGTGGGTGCTGTCATTTATTTGTATTGCAATAACATGTGGACTGACACATTATTTTATTAGGAACATCTCCTTTCCTAAGTTGAGATTTTGTTTAATCTACAAAACTATTGGTCTGGGTCCTGTGCTGTAACTGAATGTTAACACCAACAAAATAGGGACTTTAATCAACCATACCTTGAGAAAGAGAGAGACAAGTAACGTGTCGATGTAGGTGAGCACTGGTTAATGGCAGGATAGCTGGTATATTATTTTATTTTTGAGCATAATATTTATTACCACATCTTTCATACTAACCGGTTATATTCTGTTCCTTGTGCCTCAAGATGCCCACTGCACTAACTGTAACTCTTAAATTATTTTTAGTGACGTTGGTGTGATTAATTTTCCAAGTTCTTCTCTACATATTAAAGAAATTAATGCATTTTTTTTGTCCTCAAATAGTTACAAATAGAAATATTAATTAATTCTACTGCAAAACTACTGCTGCTAACAATGATAGTGATTGGTTTCCAATTTTTATCTTTTTTTTAAATTTAATGCTTTAGGAATAATTGAGTTTTTTTCCCTGAGGTATAAATGTTTTCAAAACCAAAGGAGAGCTTACAATTCCATGAATGGATAAGATTGTTTAAACACAGTCACACACGGACTGCAGGTTCCTTGTGGATGTGTTGAATATCCTTCTTAGGATAGTGATTTTTGTGAGAAGAGAGGGAGTAAGTTTTACTTGTATTTCTTCCACAAGATTTTAAGTATGGTGTTTTCCTCCTGAACTGAATGAGGTCCTTGCTTCAAAATCACTTTTGGCTACGATAGGGAACATACTACTCAATGGGACTAAAAATATCCACAGAGTTTGATTGGTAGGTTTAAATATCACTTTTTTCATAATTTAAATTTTACTTTTTCTCATTTTTTAAAGAAAAATGTTAATGTGAACAATGAAATGCTCTAATTCAGTGTGAATTTACATAAAGTAGTCCATAGGAGTTCATCCCAGCAGAACAATATGAAAATTACTTAGGACTTTTCATGAGAACTCTTAAATACCTTAGATATTTAATTTGGGAATCATAACTTTCTCATGTGTTTTTATGTATTTATATGTGAATACCTTGGAGATGTATAACAATGAAAAATAAGGAGGTGAGTGTACTGACAGGCAACCAAATTATCTGTGAAAAAACATTATTAGTTTGTTTATGAGTACAGAGGTAGCCATACCTTCTGCTCTCATACGTGAGAACTTTCAAGGTATCTGAATGATGACATTGTGAACTCTGCAAAGACAAAATAATACATGTTTTGCGTGAGCTTTTGATTAAGTTTTTTAGGGAGTCTGTTTCTCTTTGGAAATAACTATCAAATTCTTTAGTCTGAAGTATGCAGTTTTATACAGGTATGTGCAGAAAATGTGTAACAAATTCTAGTCTAAAAGTTCCTATTTGTTTTGTTTCTTTTCAGTAATTCCATCAAGCTAGTGAATCTGTGCTCTATATTTATCAGCACGTGGCTGACAGCAGCTGGGTTCATACATTTGGTAAGTATATTTGAAAGTACTTCATTGACTTTTTCTCATGGATCATCTGCTCTCTGAGCTTCTTTATTTCCTGCAATTGCCTTGCTCTGTATAATCCCTTAACACATCGCAAAAGGACAATAAAAAGGCATCACAGCTTCCCAAATTTTAAGCTTCTACTCAAAACTAGTTTGTAGTAGTAAGACAGACATCATTAACCTCAGCAATAAGGCAGGAGACTTGGACTGGTGCAACTTGTAAAACGATGACAATTTACCAGGAGGTGGCAGTGCTTCCCAAAGAACTCCTGCGAGTGCTTCCTTGGAGCAGTTGGCTGAGTTGGAACTAGGCAGAGGTCCTGGGAAATCCATAGTTGCGTCAGAAGCACACAGTTCTGTATTTCCACGAGGAGTAATGGGATTGCTAACATTCTGGATAGCAATTTGTTTAGAGATTTTCCTTTTCATTTGTTTTTAAATTTCAAATTGTAAAGTGTAGCTTGCAGTAACTGATAACACATTTTTTTTGGTAGTAGATTTCTATTCTGCACTTGACAACACCTGAAAATAGTAAAATAGTACAGAAGTACATGAATTCATAACTGTGAATATGCAAATGAACGATAGGTATATGTCAAGTATGTGTTTTAAACGAATAGCTATTACTGATTTGTTTGGTAAATAAAATATGATTAAGTGGTTGTCCTTTAAGTACATTTTATAGTCAATTTAGAATCAGGAAAATTTTGAGCTGGTAGTAGTAATAAGTTATTAAGGAATGTTTTGGACTAGTAATAAAATTTAATGATATTGGTGTCACTGGAGCAATTTCATTGACTTCACTTGAATTACCTTGAGCTGCATCCAACTGTGTAAGATTAAATTAAAAATATTTATTTTCTTGATATATCTGTCATTTAATTTTCACTCTTACAAAGATACACCGAGATTTTGGATATTTTCATTTATGATATATTTCTCATTGACATAGGACCCTATTTTTACACTCCTCTGAGCAAATATAGCATTTCTGTCATAGAAACAAAAGCTTTTCCTAGTTATGAACACAAAACCAAAAAAAACCTCACCACTCTTTTAAAAACTACAAGAAGACTGAGGGAATGCTATTTTCTAGGATTTGGATTTTTTTTCTGCTTTACTTTTCAGCGTAAGTTGCTCTATTCTACTGTAGGAATACTCAAACTTCAACTTTTTACTGTGGAACAAATTTTAGAGGGCATGCTCTTTTCCAACTGATAAATTTATAATTTTGTCACAGGAGCAGCTGACTTTTTGAAAAAGTAGTACTGTATCACTAAACATGTCAGTAATGCCTAATAGCTACATAGTCCTTTAAAAGAAAAAACATTAAGGAGTGTAATTGCATTACACATAAGTTTCACTCTGAAAATGTTCAAAAGAAATATTTATAAAATGAACTCACTTAACCGCATTAGTAAGTTATTTAGTGGTGAATGGAAAAGATAATTTCCATAAATAGTATGAGTGGAAAGGCTATGTATATTGGCAAAAGAATTGTAGTGCTACATTTTGGACAGCGTCAGGTTCTGTATTAGTTCAAAATAAATCACAGAAAGGGATTCAGAGTTTATATTATGTGTCATATTATATATATACGGGCACACATGCACATGCATATATGGTTAGAAATAATTTGGGGTACAACTCTATTAATTCATTATATGTTTTCTTTTACATTTAGGTGGAGAACTCAGGGGATCCATGGGAAAACTTCCAAAATAATCAACCGCTAACATATTGGGAATGTGTTTATTTACTGATGGTTACAATGTCCACTGTTGGCTATGGAGATGTTTATGCAAAAACAACCCTTGGTCGCCTTTTCATGGTCTTCTTCATCCTTGGGGGATTGGTAAAAACTCTTTTTTTTTAATTCTTCCTATTATTCCAGCTACCTTAATACTTGGTCTGGTATACCTCGTTGTAATTAAGTAAAACTAAAATTAATTATAAAGCATTCAAATATTTTTAATGTGCCCTTTTTTCATGTAGATAAATACTTTGGCAGAGCTTATCAAATTAGTCCAGTTTAGTCAGAATTTATCTAATTCCTTTTAATGAGTAATGCATGTGAATACATAAAGTGCCTTAATATTTCAACATATAATGTTATTTGTAGTCCTTGATGTTTTAGTGACTGACTGTAGTGCATTTTTTTGGAGGCTGATATTGATATTTAAAGGCACTTTGCGGTTTCAGATGTCCTACCCACCCTTCTGTGTTCCTTCCCAGAATTCCAACAAACACTGTGGCTTTGGACTTCCTTAAAGAGCAGCTTGCCTGATCTAGATGATGGCAAACCACATTCTCTTTAATTTCAAACATCTTTTCATGTCATGTAGTGCAATTTTAACTCACAGTCTGTCACATGATAATAATAATCAGGATCCTTTTATAGGATTCTTGTGTTCTTTGTTCTGTATGTAAATAGCATCCAAGTTACTAATTGTCTTATGTTGACTTTTCTATTATTTGTCAGCGTTAGTAATATTATAGGACCAGTAGCAATGTTGTTCTCTAAAACAGCAAAGTTTATTTTAATATTTACATATTTCAAGGTAAGTGCTTTATGGATGACTATAAATAGATTGTACACATACATACATACATACATTGTTACCTTACCCTCATATATTGATTTCACATATACATATCTTACAGAGGTGATATGTATATAACTAGTGTTATGAATGCCATATATGAGACACACAGATACATATATATGAGCATTAAATATATGCATTCCCATCTCTGATCATTGACATACGAAGACAAAGATCATGTCAAATGGCAGTAGCTCTTCGAATTATCCAGCCACAAGGAAGATGTTTGTTGGACAAAACATGGCAGAATATTTTTTATTTTCTCCTCAAACCCTTTTTTCTATCACATGTTATTCCAATCCTTCTAAACCCAACAACTTTTGGAAAAGTTTTTTTTTTTGGGGGGGCAGGGGTAATTTTTTTGTTTCTTGATGGGGAAATAGCCCCTGCTTCCATCTGTTTTTTGTCTTCTTTTAAATTCTAATGCTGGGGGCAAAAGTCTGTATTTTAAAACAGAAATGTAACAGTAATGATAATACTTGGGTTTGGATTTTTTTTGCAGTGGGGCTTGGATGGGTTTTTCCCCCTCCCTTCTTCAGGAAGAAATAGACATAACTGCTTTTTGTGATTAGTTACCAGTTTGGATTAATTTTGTTCTTGTTTTGTTTTGTGTGTCTATTTTTCCTCTTTTGACCATTTTCTTTATTTATAAGGTATACATCTTCTCCAAGACCAACTTTTACATTGAGCCCTCTTGTTTTGTTTGATAAGAACTTTTACATTTTTTTAAATTTTCTTTTTGAACAACTGCATAGATCTAATTCTTTTGCATTTTCAGATCTAAAAAATATATATCTTCTGAAAATATTCATCATCCCCCTTTCTTTGGCCTCTCTTTTTAGTCTTTTCTTCTGTCTCCTATCTTCTTCTTAGGCCATGTTTGCCAGCTACGTCCCTGAAATCATAGAGTTAATAGGAAACCGCAAGAAATATGGTGGTTCCTATAGTGCGGTTAGTGGAAGAAAGTAAGTATCCCAAGAGGCTCTGCTGCCTCTGCTGCAGTAGAACACTCTCTGCATGCCATTTTCTTTTTTTTTTTGTGTTTTTGTTTCATGCATGTAGGCAATGTTTGCTCGCTACGTGCCAGAAATTGCTGCTCTCATCCTTAATCGGAAGAAATACGGCGGAACTTTTAACTCAACTCGAGGCAGAAAGTAAGTCAAAAAAGACCAGGTGTGGTTGTGTGACTTTAAAGAGCCCCTGAAGGTGGTAATAGCTGACTCACAGCTTATAAGGCTGTGTTCTTTGACATCAGATGTTACCACTGGAGAGTTGTCACACTATAATTAGAGACCTGGGCTATGCTATGGTACAAGTCACAACATTCTGTCCCTACTTCCAGAGAACCTGGATACCACTAAGACTGCACTAACATATCTTGTTAAAAGTGCTGCTATTACAGATGGAGTTAGCTTCTGGAACAAGGTTGAGTTGTCACTTAACTGTTTTGGGCACCAGGTTATCGTGTGGTTTATCTCTTAACTAAGTGACAATGATAATTCACATGATATTCAGACAACTTAATTCTTTAGAACACTTGGTTTTGCTGGAGTGTAAAATAGGAGATTTAAGTTGAACGGTTTATTCTGTTGGACTGACTATGTAAGAAGTCTAATAGCCCCATTTCTCAGTGTTCCATCAGCAGATTCTCATGCATCTTCTTTTTACTTCCTATGGATATTGCAACACTCATGAATTTAGGATCTATGACCAGGGATTTTAAAGCAATTCACTTCCACACACTGTAAAAAACTTACCCTAAGAAGAGCAGACAGTAGCCTTAATATCAACATAGTATGGTAAAGGAACAAACCCATAACAAACCCATAAACCCCACTATTTTTACCTGGTGGCAAAGGTTAAACTTTATTGGACCACATCAGCTTATTACATTTCTATTAAAAGCCTCTTTGTTTTCATGACCAAGTTAAAACCAGCTGTTTCTGGCATTGCCAGCATCTAGACCTACTGGGATATAGCTGTTACTGAACTAGATGTACTTGGTGATATAGTGTGATCTAGCACAATATCACGTTTAATGTTGCCATCTTTCATTTCATTGCATATCATCGTGACATTCAGTGGTAGAGATATATTTGCCCTGAAAGACTACTCATACAGAGGGCCTTTTATTTGAAGGCCCTTTGCAGTACCTTCAAACAAAGAAGGTACTGCAAGAAATGCATCTAATTAATTTTCCCTCTCCTTACTTTAAGAAAATTTTTTACTTTATTCGTTTCAAATCATCACCCTGCAACATTTTATTAAAGTGGATTATGGTTTAATCAAGTTGTTTCTTCTCTCTGCATAGCAGAGACTGTAAATGTCCCACAGAGATAATTCTAGAGTACTGTTTTACATCACTGGGGAGATAAATCAAAGCTTTAGAATTAGAATACTATTGTCTGTTCAATAATATTCAAGCAATTAGACAGTAAACTTCAATATTTTTGAGATACCCTCAAATGTTTAGGGTAAACTGTAAACACCAGTGTTGGAAGTTTCCATCACTTAACCTAGACTGACAAAACGTCTTGTCTTTATTTCTGAGAAAGAATAGTATCATGAATTTCCAAAAATTTTTTTTGGGACATAGTTTCATATTTTTATTCTTACCTGGTTTCTCAAAGAGTAGGTTTTTCAAATACAGAACATACACCTCTGTTTTTGAAGCTTCAAAGGAGTTATAGCAGAGGGGTATATGGTTAAAAACTATTATACATACAGTTTTAGTCTCTCCCCTTCTACATTGTCACTAGTACCCAGCATTGCTCAGATGTCTCTAAATTTTGACCTGATCTTCAGTCAGAACCCCACATCCTGAAAAACTCAGCATCAGATTACAGGCTTCTGCTAGCTTTGGGGTGTGCTTAATTTTATTTTTTCACCTTTTGTTTATGTCTTTCTTTATTTGCACTATCTGTTTGTTTTTATCTCAGTCTGTTGTCAGTGCTTTCTCTGCTGATTTGTACTGCTCATATAATTTGTTGTTTGAAACTCAGCTCTGTCACCAGCATACGAACTGTTCAATTTACTTTATACATTGTTTTCCAGTTCAATTATTAATTGTGAAGTAGTTTAAAGATGTCCTTTGCTCATGTGGGTCTTTCATCAGAGAATCTAAGCTTGGGAACTGCACAGTAAAAAGCCATTAGCACTCCTTGTTTGATGTTGCTTTTGCAGTCAATAGAACAAGATTGATGAAATGTTATGTTTGGCCAAAATTTAAGTTTTCATTTGAAATTCAGTGTTGAGAGAATGGATTGTCAGAACCAATAAGTTTTCCTTTGCGTGGGATATGGGCATGTGGTAGTAATTAGCAATATAAGGTCTTTAGTTGAGCAACCAAGGATAGATTCTGGCAGTAAACATAATGAGAAACTACAGTTTTTCTATTTCTATCGTCAGAAAGTTTCCAGATAAAATAAAATATGTTTACAATATGAAAACAGCTGATTTTTTTTTTTTGGAAGATATAGTTTCAGCCCTTAAAATATGTATACTTTTTAACTTTCTAAAAAATAGAAAAATATAGGGAATCTGCTTTGTAGCATTTACATATTTTTTTATACATGTTGCCTTGTAGAATCTGGGTGTGTGGAATAACATGTTTCTATATGGTTATTAAACATTTAGGTCGTAAATTAAAATCAACATATGATTATGTGTGTTTTGAGGATTGCACTGCGTGATTTTAATACTGAGGAGAGCCTTGCTATGAAATTGTAACTGTCAAAGAAGATAGAATGTGTGCATAAGAATTCTTGATACAAACGCCACCTACTAAAGAAGAGAAATTACCAACACACCAATGAGTTTGATCTCACATTTCATTTTGCTTTTCAGCTGATAAAGTCCCCAAAGGTCTCATAAACAATATAGGATGCATTTGGAACAATAAAAAATCTTACTTCTCTCTTAGATGAGACACATATATACAGACTTGGGAAGCAGAAGTAGCTTGTGGGCAGTATGCAGTTATCACTGGTTAAATTTACTAGATACTGGTTAGTTATGTTATGTAAGTCCACAGAGAATTTTTTAAATTTTTAATTTAAATTATAATTTCTGCTTTGTAGTATTACTGTAGTGAGATTTTTAGAGTCTCATAAAATACACAACAGGAATTTTTTATAGTCTTTGATTGAAGTTTCACCTGTTAAATAAACAACAGTACTCACTGTTGCATATATACCAAAATTTCTTACCAATATATCTGTACAAAATTTGACTCAGACTAAACATACACCTTTGAGGTCTAGTAGGGTAATGAGTTAGGCACAATTACAATCTATAACAAAAAAAAAATTATCAGAGAAAATATAACAATCCTTGTCTTGAATTCCAAATTTATAAGCAATGAGAGTTGCTCTGTAAGCAATAATATTACTGCTAAACAGCTGGGTTTTTACTGTTTTTCTTCTTCAGCTCATCAGAAGCCTCTGTAATGTTTTTACTGTGTGCCCTGATATACCAGAATCAGATGATCAGTAGACAAGCAAAACTGGCCTTTTCAGTTTAGTTATACACAGAACAGACAAACAATTCCTTCTTGCTATAGTCATCACTACATACAAATAATACAGAGAAAACCAGGCTGCAGTTACAAGACAGAAAACAGTTGATAATAAATATACATATATGAAAAACTAAGTCACAAGTGGGAAACAAAATTCAGTTGTAAGAAGCAATCAGACTTGTAAAAAATATTATTTTGTAATACAACTAAGAGGTATCTTAGGATAACGGTGATGTGTCTTTCAGTATTTTCCATATTGAGTCCTATGTAGCTTTTCTGTTCTCTCTGACAAGAAATTCAGTCACTACTGTTTCTCCTTCTTATTCTTTTCCCTGGATGAATTCTGTGGTACATGATTTTACATTTTGAGAAACACTTTCTATGAAGTGGGTATTGCACATAATATTCTTTGTAATGATGTTTCCTCTTAGCCATTTTTCTTAAAAATTTTGAGCCCAGTGAGTGCTTCCTTACACCCTATCTATACTTAGCTCTTTTCTTTTTAAAGCTTTTGATTTGACTTTGTTTAGGCTTTTTCTGTAAACTATCTGAGGAATTAATGAGGAGTTAGTTTTCAAGGCATCATTTTAAAGTGATGTTTCTAAAGTGAAGTACCGTAAAAGGATGGAAAGGTATCTGCCCCCATCAGCATAGCTGAAAGAGTATTGGGTTTAAAATGTAGCAATAAGCCTGCAGGTTTGTTCATGGATTCATATCTCTGAAAGACTGGAAGGGGCAGTGATCATTTTGTCTTTGGATGATTTCCTGAAGTGCTCCAACTAAGCTCTTAGTTATGAAGTTCAGGATATAATTCTTATGAGACGGGGCTTTTCTTCAAGAAAGTCTTGGGTCTGGATAAGTAGATTTATGCTATAGCACTCTTTTTTGATATTTGGAACTTAAACATTCATTTCCAGCCAAAAAAGTACTTACAAAATCAACTGTGTTATTTCTTAAAAAAAAAAAAAATCAAGTTTATTTTGATTATTTGTTTATAATATTCACATTAGAGAGGTGCAGTATGAAATTCAGTTAAAGATCCAGACTTGTTTCTGTATTCATATGCTCACATGATCAGATTAGATTTTAATTCTGTGAAGTATTTTCCAGTTGAAGATAATAGCTTGTAGATCAGCCTGCACAAAGCTCTGGAAAGCATATGGAAAGAGTATTTGTAAACTGATGAACTCAGAGAGACTGGATAAACTACTGATTTTTACATTAAATTAATGACTTTTAATTCCATGAACTAAATTATTTTTGCCTCTTTGAAGCAAAACTGCTATCAAATTCTGCCCTTTATGAAGGCAGAAAGTAGAACATGGCTTTCCATATTGGCAGAGAGAGGGATGACCTGCTTGAGCAGAGAGGTTGGACCAGATGACTTGCTGTGGTCCCTTCCAACATTAACCATTCTGTGATTCTGTCCATATATATATAAACATC